AGGCTCACCCTGTACACCAGCAAAGAAAGCCTGCTTGGTGTAAAGATTATAGCATGGACATTTAAGGACTCAAGGGAGAGTCCTAAAAGTCTCTCAAACAAACTGAGGGCAGAACTTTTCAGTGGTTGTGGCAGTACCCTTTTGGAGGGAGGGTGACGTTCACAGTCATTTAGGGCTGCCGTTGACGAAGACAGTAAGAAAGGTGGTTAGGTGTTCCTGTGTCAGGAGGGGAGGCTGGGTGCCTCCTTAATTCAGACAGGGCTGGGCTTTAGCTGGTTGCAGTCACCACCTTGCTCTCCTGCTTCTGTTCCTGTTGGCTGCTCTGATCTGGTGTGGAGACAATCCAGAAGGTCTGATCGTCATCCAACTAAGTCAGTCCCCGGGGTGTTGGACAAGATCACAAGCTCTGGGGAGGGGCCTTGCTGACTGGGCGAGCTAAGTGAAATCATTCATCTTTATTGTAGGTGACTTTGGGCTTGTTTTTTTCCTAAAGTCGCTTGTAAATCTTGTGGCTTTGGGCTTGTTTTTGAACATTAAGTTGTTTATTTGGGCTTGACTTTCTTTCCCAGTGAAACTAGCAGATTATCTCCCAGCTCTGCACAATAAAGCAAACGATGAGTGGTAGTAGATAGTTTGTCTCTTCCACGCCCCCGTTTCCTGTTTATCGCTCTGCCCAAGTTGGCGAGTGGACAGGCTCACATCCAAACAAACACTCATACTGCGGCCGACCACTAAGGGGCTCCATTCACACGCAGATGTCAAGATGTTTTGTTTTTAAAAAATATGTAGAAAAAATATGATTTACATATTAGTATATTAGTTACATATGCAAAAATAAATAAATAAATCAGAGCTTAAAAGTACTGGTATGTTATTCAAAGTGTTTAACATAATTTTGCTGTTGTTTATGTGTAATGCCATAATAAATGTATGTTCTATTTCGTATAGGCTTCGCCTTTAAGGCTATCGTTAGTGGGTTTATCCTTACGTGTGCAGCGCAGCACTGAAAACTTTAGTCCACACCCACCTACTGTGTGGGCCTCATCCCCGGTCCGTTTAAATTACAGTAAGACCGGGCAATCATCTCCCATTTTTTCTTCAGCCAGCTAGCTAGCACTGTCAGAAGAAAGAAGAAGGAAAAGTTGTCCAGCTTTGACCGGCACAACTTTTGCTAAGGATGTCTGGGTCTCCGCCACGCCAACCTCCTGCCGTCCCGGTGAGCTCTTCCTCCCCGAGGAGAAGCAGACGAGCAGCCTTGTTCAAGGTAAGCACTGAAGAGTGCCTTTCCGTGGCAGGTCGCTACCCGATGGACGACGCCTAACTTTTTTCCTCGCCGTAATCGAATGATTTCCTCGAAAAAGGCAATGTTAGCAGCAGCCCCGCTGAATGTTTTTCCGTGGAGGGCTGCTACTCGCTGGACGACGCCACCGCCTTTTCTAACGTGTTTTTTTTCTTGAGGTGAATCGGATGATTCCCTTGAAAAAGGCGTTGTTGGCAGCAGCTCCGCTGAGTGTTTTTTTCTGTGGTGGGACGCTATGCGCGGGACGACGCCACCGCCTTCTTTTACGCAGAGTCACGCAGTGAATCGAATGATTTCTCAGAGAAAAGCGATGCGGAGTTGCCCCAACCCTCCTGGAGAGCGTAGTGACGGAATACGAGCGGCCGAGCCGATGCTCAGCCACCTCGGATCTTCCCACGTCGGTGACCACACCGCTCCCAGTCGTCGACACCCTCCTCTTGGAGCTGCCCAGCATAATCCAGGAGGATGTTAACACAAGGGAGTTTCTATCCCTCACCTTCCTCCGCCCTGATCGGATGATCTGGCGGCAAGATTGGCTCCGCCCCGGCTCGCTGCCCTTACCCCATCTGGCCTCGCTGTACAGCTGTGACGTCACACTGGAATGAGGCTGTAGCTGGGCCTGGCAAGATCAAGACATCCGTCTCGACCACATCGCCGCCTGGATGACCATGATCCAGAGGACCACTTGACTCTGCCTCTCGCCATCCTTGTCCGAGAGGCTGCAGAAAGACCTGTTGGAGGGCCCCATCACCCCAGAGGCGCTGTTTGGGGCCAACTTCAGGACCATCCCTGAGAAATCGCAGAGGTCTGAGGAGGTCTCAGAGACTGTTCACCATCTGGTGACATCACAGTCCTCCTCTTGCCCCTTCGGCCGCTGGAGGGACCGCTTTAGCCAGCAACAGCAGCAGAGGCGTTCCACAGCTGCGGCAGCGACTTCACGCCCCGCTCCTCCGCCGGCCCCCTCCACCAGGTAACAGATCCTTGAGGGGAAGGTATGTGTTTTTTGGTGATGTATGTTTTTGATATAAAACAGAAACACCTCTGAAAGTAAAGTTTTTCATCTGAGACTATCAGATCAGCTGATCTCACAGCTGCCCCTCTTCACACATTCCCCACACAGAACGAGCCAGTAACCTCTAAACAGCGTTTTAAATGGCATCGCAGTTCAGTAAATATCACAAACACTCGTCTGCCACGTCAGCTAAAATGATGTTTTTTCAGCAGACCGAGTCCAGTAAAATCCCTCGTTTTTCAGTCAGAGCCCGTTTTTTATTTCTGCTGTTTTCTGCCCACTCACAGCGCAGCGAGAGTAAACATGTTTTCTCCACGATAGCTGCAGCCTCCACCGAAATGGCGTCTCACTCAGAAAGCGCTCACGCCACCTCTCAGTGCGCGCCGGCTCATCTCAGCTCTATGTGAGACCGCAGCCTGTGCTCAGCACAGAGGCACACATACAGCCCTTTTTCTGTCGGAGCCCTCCTTGGGTTTCCCCCGGAGAATCTCCGGAGCAAGTGATGGCAGTAAGGCTTTTTAGTCTGGTGGACGTTCATGAGAAACATGACACAACACAAATGCGTGCCCGCTCTCCGAGCGCTACTCAGAGTGGCAGCAAGTGTGTTCCCTGGAGAACTTCACCAGAACGACTGATTTTCACCCCCATAGATCCGAAGAGCACATATGTTCACATTTCCATCATTCTGAAACACCCCACGCATGTTCTCGAAATATGTGGAGACGGCACTGCAGTCGTTACACATGGCAGGAATGAGAAATCTTTTTATCTGGACGATCTGCTCTTCGGTCAGAGCCCTCCTTGGGTTCCCCCTGGAGAATCCCCGGAGCTAGTGATGGCAGTAAGAAAGCTCCTCAGTCCAGTTAGAAAGCAGTCGCACAAACCAAAACGCTAGTGTTACACCTGCTAAACCTGGGGTTTCTATAAACTGGGAAAAACTTCTGTTCGTCCATCCCAGATGATTGATATCTGGAAGTGGAGCTAAACTCTACTACAATGAGAGCCCATTTATCACAGCTGAGAGCCGAAGCTCTGTCAGCTCAGCTCCTCCATGTCAAACCCTGCAGCATATTGACAGTTCTGCCTATCATGCGACGCCTGGGACGATGTCAGCAGCCCACATCGTGGTTCCGCTGGGCCTACTTCACATGAGACGCCTTTATCTTTGTGCCCCCCACTGTGAGAACCGATCTGAATCACTGGGGAAACCCTCTCATTCTGTCAGAGGGAGTTCCCATCAGCAGGCCTACATCACACGTCTTAGTTTTCACAGACGCGTTCCTGTCAAGCTGGGAAGAATGTGTCTGTCCCAAATAGTGGGAGCACAGTGACTGGACCACATGTTGCTTTACATAATGTGCTAGAATGTTTTCATGGTCTGAAACGTGACTCAGCATTTTGCCCCTGCTGCAGGATCAGCATTTTCTGATCCACACAGACAACAAGGTGACGGCAATATAAACCGTCAGGGAGGCGTGCACTCAGCCCAACTGTTACGCATCGCGAAACAGCTGTTGTGTTGGGCACACAAATCCTGCTCTCCATCAGAGCAGTGTACATTCCCAGCGTCCTGAACAGGCAAACAGATATCATGTCGAGGAGCGGTCCCCGCCACAGAGACTGGAGCCTCCATCCCGAGCTGATTTCTCGGATTTTTGGGGCAAGTTGGGCCGAGCACCAGTGGATCTGTCCGCCACACGGGAGAACGCCCAGTGTCAGTTATGGTTCTCAATGAGCCCACAAGACGACCCACCATTAGGAGTGGACGCCTTCGCTCACAGCCCGTGGCCAAAAATGCTCCTTTATGCGTTCCCTCCAGTCCTGCCGATATCACGGACCCGGGACCAGGAACGGGAGGAAGTACCGTCAGTCATCCTCGTAGCTCCCCAATGCATATGCGCTCCGTGGTTCCCGAATCTGCAACGACTGATATCGGGCCGGCCGTGGGAACTGCTGTGGGGGGGCGCTCTCCTCCAGGCAGGAAGAGCGATCAGGAGTTACCCAGCAATAGAGCAGCGTATCTTTGGGTCTGTCTGCTGAACAGATCTGTTTTAGAAAAGATGGGCCTCCCACAGGATGTGGTGCGTACGTTCAGGGCACACGAGCTGCTTCCACGACAACGCTGTGCACAGCAAGTGGACAGTTTTTCAGCGCTGCTGCGCAGAGAAAGGCATGGAGGCCATCTCATGGCCACTAGGTGGTGGCATGCTGTCTTTTCTGCAGCAGCTGATGGACAGAGATTTAGCGTTCAGCACAACTAAAACTTATGCTGCAGCTATTTCTTCCTGTCACGAGGGCTTCAGTGACAGAACAGTTCTTAATCACCCATTGATGAAGTGTTTCCTGAAAGGTGTACGGAGACACAGACCGGTTTCACGTTCACTAGCGCCACAGTGAGACCTAATGATGTTCCTGCACGCTCTGATCAAAGCTCCTTCTGAGCCTTTAGATCAGGTTTCACTTAAATTCTGTCATTAAAACAGACCTGCTGTTAGTTCTGACGTCGGCGAAGAGAGTGAGTGTTTGTTTGCTCTCTCTGTTGCTCCCTCATGTCTCAGAATTCAAGCTGACGGCAGTTCAGCTGTACTGCGTCTTAACCCTGCTCTGAAAAACATCACAAGCTCATTCAGATTGAGAGTGATAACCTTGGATGGGTTTCATAATTCTGAGGAGGAAGCAACATCTCACCTCCTTCAGTCCCATGCGTGCATTTTTCATGTTACGTGGCGCACACGGCTGTACTGCGCCGCTTTCAGCGTTTGTTCGTGCATTACTGGAACAGCTCTTCAGGACGTCCTCTATCCACCCAGCGCCTCTCACACTGGTTGTGTGAGGCTATTTCTGAAGCTTACAGTTCATCTGGACTGGATCCTCCAGAGAATCTCAGCACATTCCACCAGAGGGTTTTCATCCTCCATGGCTCTGCATGGAGGGATGACAGTGGAGGATATTTGTATGGCGGCTGCCTGGTCATCGCCATGTTCAGTTATTCATTTTTAATCTACGTGATGTTTCTACTTTCTCCATGACCCATTCTATTCTCAGGGTTCTGACAGAATGATTATTTGTTTCATGGAGCCTCACTTTTGAGCTCACACCTGCCTGAATGCAGTCGCAGTGTGAGATATTTATTATCAGTCACAAGTTGATGACTGCTGATTTTATCGTTATTAACCGGTTCATCCTGAGGAGCTGTTGGTCTGCTCTGTTCATTGTTACACTGTTACAATTCGTATCCTCCGTTGTTCCTATTCATAGCAGCAGGTCTGCTATCTCAGCCTTTTTTCTTCACCAGAGATCTTCTCCAGTGCGCTCCTACGCATGGAGTACGCAATTACGCAGCGCGTAATCACGCACACAGAAGACTGAGTGATGAAATGTTTTTTTGTGCAAGCAGGTGCTTCATGTTGTGTCTGAGTGGACCCAGTGAGGCATGGACTACATCCTGCTTTGCATTTAACCCACTAGCGATAGCATTAAAGGGC